GTAGATTAAAGTAATATATATACTATCTAATATTATATGTCTTGAATGTATGTCTTAGAAGACATGTCTCTACAATAGTGTATATTTGTAAGACATCTGTGTGCTTTGAGACATATGATACATTTATCTGAAATAAATGTTAACACTCCCCTTCAAACTTATACTAGTTGATCAGGCTAATATAATGTTTGATAAGTGTTTGTCTGTTGTTTTTACTAATATTATTTACATTCACAATGTAAATGTTTTGTTGGTTTTGTATATTAAGTCTACTGTATGTGTTACATTTGTCTAATGTATTATTATTATGTTCAATGTAATAAATTGATTGTAAGTTCAATTTTTATTACTAAGAGAGCTGTAGGATCTCTTTAGCATTTGTTCATTTGTAGTTTTATTATTATTATTATTATTATTATTATTATAGTTGTCACTATAATGTTTTATCATTTGTATGATAGTAGTTTTTCTTGTCTGTAATGTAATATGATATGATATAATTTTGTTTCATTTGTTTTTCATGTCATATTGTTTGTTTTGTGTTATAGTATGTTTATTTTATCATACTAAGTTGTTCTACAGTTGTTCTGTTATTTGTTCTGTTTGTATTTGTATTATTATACATGTAGTTTGTTTTATATTCTTACACTCAAAGTGTAATTAGATTGTAATTTGTTTGTATTGTTTTGTTTGTATAGTTAATACTATATTTAATAACAATGTGTGTGTTATTAATTTGTTTGTTGTTAATTTGTATTTTTGCACATTTGAATTGTGTTACTAGTAGTTTTCCCACTTTTACTTTTATAATGAAACTATTGAATCATGCCTGTAAAATGTGCTGTCAATGTTATTATAATGTCCTCTATTTATTATGTATCATCTTTGTTTGTATTTGTTTTGTATTCATACCTTTTAAGCATTTAATAGTGGTTCTATACCTTTATATTGAAGCATTGTATTGTTTGTAATTTGTAATATCATTTATAATATGTCAGATTGCTTCATATCAAGGTTGATTAAGGTTTTATTCATTATAATTTGTTTTATTTTATTGTCTGACTGTCTGTAAGTCTGTTTAGATACATTATTTATGTTTTAAACATATAATATGTTTGTATTGCTTTACTGTTTTACAATAGATATATTTAATATTAATATATTTGTGTATTGTATCTGTTATTGTTTGATGTGTCCTTCAACTTTACAAACTATAACATTATTCATATGTTTGTATTGTTTTATCATTGTGATAATGTTTTATCATTGTTGTATAATGTTATTTGATTAATATATTGCTTTGCACAATCATAATTCGTGTTCATTGTTTTTATTTCATAGATAGATGAAATAGCATATTTTACAGTTCTATTTTTCATCATATATTGTAATATTTGTTTGTTTATTGTTTATTTTGTATCAAATTCTGTTTGATATTGTTTTAATCATTGTATTACTCATTTTTGTTTGTTATGATCAATGTTATCTTGTTTTATTCAAAAGGATTAATGTTTTGATTACTGTTACTTCTGTTACTTCTTTTAATTTTAGTAAGTACTTTGTACATCTAGTGTAGATTGCTTTAGGAATATGTGCCATTCCTTAGCTTCATTACCTGGATTATTTCCCAGTTATATGTCTGAATATTATTTTGTTTATTTAGTTGTTTATTCACTATTATGTTCCACATGTTAGAGAATAAGTGTTGTAAGTTCTGTATGATGTGTGATTGTTATTTTCAATGTAACATACATTCTGTTACAGAAGACATAGTTCTGTTCAATAGTTCTATATAGTTTGTTATGTACTAGAGATGCTTTTCTACTCAACATTGTTGTATGTAGTATACTTCTCTGTGTTTAAGTATATAATCTGTAATATATTCATTCATAATACATTCAATAGTGTTATGTATAGTATAACCATCAGAGTTTTTTAGAGTAAATGTCTCTCACTGTCTGTAATATAAGTGTTTTTACAATATTAAATATATGTTTTTGTCATTAGAATCATTTCAGATTCAACAGATTGTTTTCAGATTCAACAGATTGTTTTGTAAATATGTTTTATAGGATGTACAAGGTTAAATAGTAATGTAGTCAATATTTCTGTATCATTTAATTGTTTACTATGCTTTGATTGTTCATTATGTTTTATGTTTTGTGAATATATGCCATTATTACTCCCCTTCAATTTGAGAAGGTTTGCTTTGAGCAATTAGCTTTTGTGTATGTGTAATTGATTCATTTGTATGTTTTTGTCATTTTATTATTTGTTTAAGCATTATATATGAATGTGTGAATGTGTTTTGTTCAATAATTTTAATGTTATTCATTATCTTTGTCCAATTTAATTATTAATTCAATTGGCATTTATACTGATTGTTATTCAAGTTTATACTCAAATAAATTGTATGTATGCTTGTGTATTTTGTTTGATTATTATGTGTATGTCTAAATAGTTTGTTATTTGGATAATTATAATTCATAGTATTGTTTAGCAAGGTTAAGTTTGTATATTTTGTCTGTTATATTTGCATATATTGTGATGCATTATTTTGATTCACTCAGTATCATTTGTCTTCTGTTTGATGACAAAAGTATTTGAGCTATTGTATCTTGTTTCCATTCTGTTTATTAATTTTATTCTTTTATGATGGGTATAAGTTTAAGCAAGACTGTTAATGAAGAATACACTGTTATAATATTGTTTAAACTTTGAATAGTTAATAATATTTGTTATGTATTGATCATAGATTTATTCTTTGTAAATTCTATCTTTCTACTGTTTACAGTGATCTATTAAATCTGTCACACATTTAAGATATTCAAACATTAGTAGAGTGTCTGATTGAGTTCCAAACTTATGTTTGTTTCTTTGGATTTTGTTCTGACGTTTGTCCATCTTTTGTGTACTTGGTGGCAGTGTTTGTTCTGTTGCTTGGCCCTTCAGACTATCCAATGTTAGGCTCTAATGTTTTCAAAGCATTAGTTATTTTGTTTGTGTCTGTATTATTGTATTTTGTCAAGTTTTTAAGTGACATTTAATTGTTTATAACATTTTGTATGTTAATAATAGTTTTTCAATGTGTCTGAGATATGTTTATATTTATTTAAACTGTTTGTATTAGTTGTATTGACTTAATACTTTGTTATCATGTATATCCTTTTGATACATTATATTATTACAATATATTTGTAACTATTATTTGTTTGATTTTCACATTGTAATAGTAATTGTGTAAGGTATAAGATATGTATTTGTCTGTATAGTTTATAATGTTGATATTATACATATATACATTATTATATTGTTTCTTTGTTTGTAACATTATGGTTTAATTTAATTTAATACTTTGTATAAGTATATATGTTTGCTATTATATGTTTAGAATGTTTGCAACATTGTTTCATATGTTTATCAATTGTTTTTATTGTTATTATGTGTTTGTTTGATTGCATTTGTATATAACTTTGTGTTATTTAATAATTAATAGTTTTATGTGTTTAAATGCATTATTATTATTTTGTACATGTGTATATTTGTATATCTATACAATATGTTTTATTATTTCACTTTATACATTTGTATATCTATGTAATATATTTTATTATTTTATTATATATGTTTGTATATTTATACAATATATGTGTATTTAGTAAATATATGTTATTTATTGTGACTGTTTGTTTGTGATAGTAGAAATTGTTTTTATATTTGAGTTATTATACTTTAGTAACATTTATACTCTTGTTTTTGTATTATTTGTTTATCTAATCATTATTAGATTGATTGTACATTCATAATAGTATTTCTTTATATTATTGTTATACTTTGCTAGCATTATTCTTTTGTTTATAATATTAATCATTTGTATTATTAATATAATATTAAATGTTTGTCTGTAATGTGAGATGTTACTATTATAATGTATCTCTGTAGTGTAAGATGAAGTAGTTCAGTGTTTGGATATAGTATTGCTTGGTACTCATTGTATTTAAAGCAATTAGTCTGTTTGAGGTTATTTTAATGAATTGATGTGTGTTTAGAATGCTCAGACAGGTGTGTCTAGGTCCTTGTAAATAGTATGTTCTAATTACAAGTATTGTAGCATGTCTTGTTGTACAGAGCAATTGTAGTCTTTAGGGCAAGACAATTCACATTTAGTATGCTCAGATGAGAATCAAATGGATTCAGTATTAAATAGAGTAGTTTGTTGATACTTATTAAGTATAATACAATTGAGTGTATCAAATAATCTGTACTATAGTGTATAGTACACTGAAGCATTTGAGATGATGATTGTAGTGTATATAGTTGTACATATATCTACTGAGGGGGAAATCATAATTGCTAAGACAATGATTTCAAAGTATTGTATTTGTAGAGGGTAAGATAAAAGTGTAGTAACAATGTAGATATGAGTAGAGAGTACAAGGCTTATAACCTGTTAGTATTTTAAGGTTGCAATGTTTCCCTAAGAGTTAGTCACACAAGTAGGGGTTTAGTAGACTCTACTCATAGTGTATAAGTGTTAATACAAGTTGACTGTATAGTTCTATAAGCTTCATTGTCTGTAGATTAAAGTAATATATATACTATCTAATATTGTATGTCTTGAATGTATGTCTCAGAAGACATGTCTCTGTAATAGTATATATTTGTAAGACATTTGTGTACTTTGAGACATATGATACATTTATTCAAAATAAATGTTAACACTTAGTAAGATATTCAGTTTTGTATCACAGTTGATTATTGTACACAAAAGAGTACACATTTGGAGATATTCTACTAATATGAGTACAAGGTACTACATTTGTAGGAACTAGTCTATTAGAAAAATTGAGGACATAGTAGAGGAATTTTGAAATACATCTCTACTACCTATTATTGTATTACTATTCTACAGAAGTAGAGAAACATACAAAGTTAGCTAGAAACCATAATACTAATACATTCTATTAAGGAAGAAGGCTATAGCTTTATTAATCAGGGATTTACCTCTGTACTTCCTAAAGACACAGGAGAAGAGAATATTTATAATTACTATACTGTCAGAATTTCCACTTCAGTATATATTGATTTATACTGTGTGTCTCAGAATACTTAAGAGCTAAAACACTATATCTCCCTAGGAACTCTACTAATTCTCTTCAAAAAGTGTTGTATTAATAGTAACAATCAAGAGGAAACTTTTCTACTAAGTGACAATAAGGTAATATTAATTACTTTTAAGTATATTAATGTTTTATCTAGTTTCTTATAGTTTGGAACTATGTTACTTAATGACTAGAATACTACTACTGTACAGATACTTGATCAATTAGACTCAAACCACTTTAAGAATACTAGGATACAGTTTAGGAACTTTTTGAACACTAGAGTAAGGTATTTTTGTATTTACTTACTACTAACTATTACTTTTAGTAAGTTTACTACCTTTTTTACTGATTTTTAACACTTAGAACTAAATGCTAGAGGGCAAGTAAGGGTTTGCTTTACTGGTTTGTATTTTATCATCCCTTCATTACTGATCAAGTCAGATCATTGTACAGTAGGACTCATAAGTACATATATTCTCATTTAAGTTAGTTACATTTGCTCCTCATGTACTTACACATGTTATACCCTTTATAAAGACAGTATTAATTACTAGACAAAGGGGATTCTTTTCTCCTGACCCATTACTTGAGTACTAGGTTATCCCAGTCAGTAGTTGAGTAAACTAAGAGTGATTAGAATTCTCTTGTAAGGAACAGTAAGTTTCCTTACAGAATTCTGCTGAGCTAGCAAAGCCTTTTTATAGTTTTATACTATGAGAGAGTTAAGACAAATCTATTAACTCTAACTCAAATTCATGACTCATTAAGCTTTCTGATTGTCTTAACTTTCATATCAGATAGTCTGATTACTCTATATAAGTATTCTTTTCTATTCTACACATTTATTTTATTGGGTGAGTTTAGTATACAGACTTTTATATAAAGAATAATACTTTTAATTGAGCCTAATTAGAACAATGAACAGTAATGTTTAGGTTATAGTCTGAAAACAAAGGGAAGTTAATAAGACAATCTAACAATGGCTTAAGAAAGGAGATGATTAAGATAGACAAATAGAATGAGTAGGACTTACTAGAGAGTGTATTTCCTGTTTGTGTGTACTATATGTACAAGTATTTGTATTATATCAGAACACAATAGCTACTTTTATTCTACTGAACTAAAGAACCTTTGGGTCAAACATAGGTGCCTCTTCTTTTCCATAGATTGTAGCAACTTATGAAACTTATCAGATTCTTTCAAAGTCTTCAGAGCTACTAACTAACATGTGCCTGTTTAGTGTTGTAACACCCAACATTTGTAGCTTTGAATTTCCTAATTTGCATATATGTCAAACAGGTTGTTATACTGTCTGGCAGCAATTCAATGGTTGAGACCCTCCATTCAAAGAAATGACTAGAATGAGGACAATAAATGGCTGTATAACAACATGTATTAGTAAACTATATACTAGTATAGAGTATTGTAGGTGCTTTAGAGCTACTGTATTAACATAATTGTAACAAGATATAGATAAGCATTCTATGTAATCTGTAGTAATTTGAATGAAATTATACATCAGGTCTGATAGACTTTGGTTCTTGTCATTCAATAAGGCTCTTTATGAAAGGAGAAGCTTGTATAGTAATTATCTGACCATTTACTATTGTAAACTAACAAAACTCTCATGCACAACTTATAAAGTTCATGGATTTAATGTATAATCAAATCAATAATGTATATACTCATTTATTAGTGTGGAGAAAGTCCAACAAGTGTAAAGGTAAATAAATAAGGTACAGAAAATTTATACAAGAGGGACAGATAGTAATACTCTTGGTACCAGTATGAACAAATAATCAAACAATAGAATATATAAGTACAATAACAAGGATAACTGTCAGATACATTGAAGGAGAGTTCAACAAAAGATAAAGCACAGAAATATTGAGATAGGGTGTTATAGTAGTATAAAATGAGCTCCCAGCTGTCCGAGTTATTGGGGGGGATGATATAATCACTTCTTTAAACACTAAACGTTTCTGCACCACTTGAGTCTATAGCCAGAGTGCCTGTAGTATGTTAACCCAGTTAAAAATACTCGAGAAATATAGACGTACTCTTGGTAAATTCAATATTGCTTATAGTCTTTGACCTATAAGTGGATCCTTCATACGCTCCCATCTCACCTGCCTCCTTCAGATTGATCAGAAGGTGGCTGCTGAGGATGCAAAGAAGCGCTGGACTTCCAGCTGCACCCAGGACACTTACAGCAACTGGGTTGATATCCAAGTTCAAGAAAAATACTATCTGCAATACGCAACAATATATTACACTATCTTTATTAGCTTAGGACTTGTGCTTCAGAGTATCACGACTCACAAGCAGAAATATAAGACTTAGTCTTGGACAAGAATTCTGACAAGTGGAATCCTTTGAGTCCAGATGACATTCTCCAGTATTCTGCAGCCTTGAAAAGAGCCAAGCACAGCAGAATCATTCCGTACACCAAAGGGGCAAGCCTGGTCCAAATCAATCCAAGCTAAGATATGTAAACAATTTGCTTACTATGTGATTATTCCGAGCACTTGCGAGTGTGGAGGACTTCTGAGGCTTTCGCAAACGAATAGCTCATTTGCTAGATGCACAAGTACAGCTGAATGATGATGTTTTTCAGTCCACTTACCATTAATAACTAAGAGAGAGTCGGTAGACTTACTGCCGCTATACAAAAATGCATAAATGAATATGCCAAAATGAATGCCTGCATCGGTAGCAAGAAGGACCTTGAGGCAGATTGAGAGCTTCTTGTCTGTCAAAATGTTAGGCTGAATCCTAGTCTGAAAGTACGTCAATGCGACACTCACTCCCATGATACAGTGCCAATACACGAAGCTGAAGGACGTCTATGTATGGTTGATTTTAATGAGCTCTTGTAACTAGATCCGACCATTTTCTTACAATCTATAAGTATAACTATAATGGAGCCTGGGGTAACGGAACTAAACGACTATGACACTATTAGACATTAGGCCACTTACTGCATATTTCGCTGATCCATCCAGTAATCTGGCCTAATTGATAATCTTGTAGTATGCGCAAATAATTGGAAAATACAACATACAGCTATAATAGATGCGTATTCATATTCTCCGTCAGTACAAAAATTGACGACACTATTTCTTCCTACCTCAAAAGATCAACATGAAAGCTTTCCGCTACATTGAAGTGCACATGTCGTTTGATTTATATGAGTCTGCGTGAACGTGATAATCGCATACCAATGATTCCACAAATCTGTCCAAGGATTCCACTGCAATGATTCTATATCCCCTTAATAAGAAAAATATCCTTTATCACAATACTTCAGTAGCACATACCACAAAGTAAATCAAGCTAGTGAGACCAGTTGGTTTGGACTTCATTATTGTTGAGACGCTAGACTTGTGGAGCTGAGCTGTAAGCTTACCCAAATATATTTTATCTAGTAGAAATTAGTGTGCACAATAGCAACGTTGTGTAATTGCCATACCTCCTTGTCAATAGTTACGACTTTGATTGTCATATCTCTCAATACGTGAGTACTAATCGAAGGAATCTCAACACATACGAGAATTATAGACCAAGACGGTCAAAAATGCAACACTGAAATACATCGAATTGATCTCTTGTGAGTAGGAGGTTTGTACTAAGCTCGGATCAATGTCTATGGCATTAGAACGAGGGTGGATGGTGTGCAAAACTCCATAGTCGAGTGTCTGGTTCGCCATCTAGAGCAAGCATAGGTGATGAGATGGATCCCAGGCTCGTTTTATGTGGAAAGGACTTGCTGGTGCATGCTTTATCTGCAGCACAGAATTGAATCATTCGTCGGAGCGCCCAAAAGCCCGGAACCTAATATAACTTGTATCATAATATGATCAAACTTTGTTTAAGTGAGGATGCAAGGGCATCTCATTCTGGTTGCCGAAGGCGTTGAGTATAATGAGATTAGAAAGGCAAGGGTTTCGGTTCGATAAATTTGCCATTGTGCAGATAAGACACTTTATAGGAAACTCACGTCAAGTAGTCTCTGACTCTCTGTGCTTGCATGTGATCCAGGCCGAGCCAAAGTACCATTTAGAAGATTTGCTCGAACTGGAAGAATATAAGTGACTTGCTATCTATCTGCTATAACCATCAGGAACCCTCGTAGTATCTGTACCAAGTTCATCTCTTTTTACTAAATTTTGGATGCATATGCTTTCTGTTGAGGTGCCTGGCTACACTTGAATCGATCATATTGTACACTGAATTATCTAGTGACCGTTTACTTTAAAGTTTAGTTGCTCAAGCAGAGCGTCATGTCAGACGTGTTTCATCCACATCACAATAAGACAAATTTTAGGAAGACTGTTCTGCCATCAAGGGTTAAACCCTACACCCGGTCAGTACAGCCTCAATACAGACATTGGCAAACATACAGGCGGGCTCAATGCACAGGTGTTCCTCTTGCACCAAGTACACAATTGAACTTATTGTAGGATAAGAACCTTGACTGTATCAGTGCCATTATTGTTAAGGCAGTGGAGCAACAAATTGGGCTTTTATGGACGCTATTTCAAAGTTCCTTTGTAACGTGCATAATTATTCTAATAATAGACCTCCAATTGCAGAGCACTAAGCAGTGAGCACGTGGCCACCACCCTCGAATTTTTCGTGTTCTAACAACTTGAAATAAATGCTGAATATTATCGTCTAAGACCTCCAAGATGACCGACATACTGTCTGACAGCGAGTCGGAGGGCGAGACTTCGCATCTGATTAAAATTAGTATATACTATAGAGCGAGATTCGAGGTGGTTACAACTTACGTCACCAACTCATTACTACCAATCACGTGGTGACCACGGTCGAAATTTTGGTGCTCAGCACCTTGAAATAAAGACCAAATATTATCGTCCAAAGCGTCCAAGGTGGCCGACATGCTGTCCGATAGCGAGTCAGAGGGCGAAAATCTACAGCAGCTCACTATTAATGAACATTTTGCCAAGGCTTACGCACGCAAGAAGGAGCGTGAGGAGTTGGCTAAGCGTTCGTTCCTTGCCTTTCTCATGGTGTAGAATGAATAAACAGTCGATCTAACCTCCGTTATATCTTACACTTAGTGAAAGAGAAATACGGCTCTGATGCAGAAGAAGGAGACGAAGAAAGCGAGGACTCGGAGGATACGGATGAAGATGAGGATGGCGAAGAGTTGACACCAGCTGTGGACGCTGCTATTCTACGCACGCTTGCTCGAATAAAGCGAAGGGACCCAGGCATATATGACGCACAGAAGGACGTGTTTGAAGGTGTGTGCTTTCTTGACGCTTGATGCGTCCGCCTCATGAAAATGCTTAGAGGAACAGCAAAGAACGAAGGGCTCGTTCTCGTTTCAAGCGAAGGATAAAGACAGGGTATGTACCAAGCTATTTTTCTCAATTGCTACGCATGTTTTGATTTCTTTCCTTGATATTTCATTAGAGAAAACCCCTCCTTCTTCGTCAACACATTCTCAACTCAAACCTGAAGACGACCTCCCGCTCCCCATCACCTGTTCCCGATGGACCAACTCATGCCGAAGAACAAGCTACCCTACGCAAAGAGACAATAACCGTATTCCATACAGCCGTTCCAGACGATGTGGCAAGCGAAGATGAGGACGACATTCTCATTCCGCGGGAGAAGACCAAGGATGAGATCGAGCAGGAACAGGAGGAATACCGGTCTTTCTTGGCGCGAGAGGTGGGTGAGGATATCGGTGGACTGGTGACAGTTGAGTCAACTGGGCCCGCTCTGGAAGATGGTGAGGAGGAGAAAGAGAGGGATAGTAAACAAGAGGAAAACAGCGAGAAAAAGAAAAAGAAAAAGAGGAAAGGGAAGGACAAGAAGTCGAAAGAGGAAGCTGATCATGAGTTCTTGATGAAGTGCGTTTACTCTTCTTTAATATCCATAATGCATCGTTTGACGATATTGCCTAGCTATATACTAAACCGTGGATGGATTGACAAGTCCGCACGACACGTCCCGACATTCGACGAAGTGACTGGCTCCAAGGTCAAGAAAAGGAGCAAGACCTCCAATGACGAAGACGCCGAGGAAGTGGGACACGTCGATATTGTAGGAGGTGAAGGTAGAAATGACTCGGATGGCGAAGAGGAAGAGTTCGACGAAGAGGAGTTCGACGACGTCGCTGATACGTTTGAAAGCTCTTACAACTTCCGTTTTGAGGAACCGTACGTACTTCTACACTCATCCGAGAGAATTCTTTATTACATCTTACATTGTATTATGCATTTCATATAGGGACGCTGCAACTATTCCAACCCATCCTCGCGAAATCTCCTCAACCGTACGGCGGGAGGAGAACCCAAGGAAGGCACAGCGTGAGCGGAGGAAAGAACGGAAGGAGGAGAAACTAGTGCAGAAGAGAGAGGAGGTGAAGCGCTTGAAAGCATTGAAGATGAAGGAGATTCGTGAGAAACTCGAGAGAATTGGAAGAGAGGGAGGCAAGGATGCAGATGATGAAGGTAATTTTCTTGTTTATCGTAGTGTATTTGACCTTGGCTAATGAAATCATTCTTTTTGCAGCTTTGGCTCAGCTTGACCTGGAGGGTGACTGGGATCCCGAAGCGCATGATAAACAGATGACCGGAATTTACGGCGAGGATGACGGCGATGACGGTGGAGAAGTTGACCTCGAGAAACCAACATGGGACGACAACATCGACATTACAGACATCGTTCCCGCACAACCTGAAGCAGGGCCTTCATCTTTATCTTCGACCTCTAAGAATAAGAATAAGAAGAAGGATAAGAATAAGAAATCCAAAGCTCAAGATGGCGATTACGCGGAGGACGGAGGCGTCGACATCGACGAGATGGATGCAGACTTTATTAACACCAACCTTACCTCAAACTCGAAGGTTAACCCTAAAGAGCTTGACGAAGCAATGGACGACGTCTACGGTCTCGAATTCAACGACATGGTCGGCGACATACCCACTCGATTCAAATATACACCCGTCTTACCACAAACCTACGGCCTGAGTCCCATAGAAATCCTACTCGCGGATGATGCAGAGTTAAACAACCTTGTGGGGCTGAAGAAGCTCGCGCCGTACCGGAGGGATCGTGGACGCACGTGGGATCCGAGACGTGGGGAGAAGTTGAAGGAGTTTAGGAAGGGTCTTTCGCAGAAACGTGGGAGTGCGTTTGAGTCTGGGACTGTAACTGGGGCGAATGGGATAGGTGTTGCTCTTGAGGAAGAAGGAAGGAGTACGAAGAAACGGAAGGGTAAGAAGGAAAGAGAAAAGGCTCGGTTCGCTGGTGCGGTCATGATGGAGGATGGTCCTACTGCATCGAATGTTGATGGTCCGGATGCCGGAAATGAGGGGAATGATGGTGGAGGGCAAGAGGAAGTAGGTGAACCACCTGCGAAGAAACGAAAACGGAGGCATAAGAGTTCTGCGAAAAATGTCGAAAGTTGATGCTTGAGCTCCGCATTCTCGAAATTGGATTGCTTGATGTGCGTGTAGCATCCTCAACTCATTTCGTACCAATGGTTGACCACCTGTTGTCGATTTTTCTTTTTGTGCTCTGTTTCTTTGCCGATTAGACTCAGAATTAGGGATCTCTATCAGGTATTACAGAATTTATTGTCATCCGTATGAGATACATATACAACAATACTCAATTCCAGAGAACCAACAGCATACATTCCCATAAATAAATATCTACTTGACAGGAAATGGAAGTGAATTTCCTCAAGCAACAACATCATCAAGCTTCCGGAACAGTTTGGTAGAACCACAGATAAAAGTCCTTCGTCGCTATTCATTCACAATTCAAGTTAACAACGAAGATACCATAAGCACATGCTAAACCAAACAAAAACAAAAAACAAAAAAAGGAGTCTTACGTGCAGCGTTAGGTCCAATACAATTAACTCCTTGATTGCACAGGTACGCTCTCCCAGGTGTCTTATCAAAGTAAATAAAAACTCCCTTTTCAGGAGGCGGCTTCCCGTAATCTGCTCTGAACTCTTGTTTACTTGAGTCGAATCCAAGGAAAGACTTGGAATCTGCCTGACAGGTGACGCCGGTGTTGTTTCCACCCCACCTGAATCGCATTCCTTTATCTTTATTGGCTTTCACGGCGTCGACACTGTGTGCAAAACAAATTAAAATTAAAATTAGAGAGGGAGGTTTAGTATATGTATGAAGCGATTTGAGTGAAGTTAAGTGGATACTTGCTTGGAGGCGGATGAGACGACGATCTTGCCCTGGGATGAATCGAGGAAGTAGTAGGCTCCATTGGTGTCGTTTGTGTAGAGCACGTTCCACTACAGGGTACAGCCATTAGAACTATTAGCACTAGTCGAATATAAATAGACCCTTAGAAGACTCCTACTGGTGGTGGATCTGCCGCACGGACAACAGTAAACAAACTAGTAATGGCAAGAGCTACAGCGGAGAGCAGGCTGGAGCGCATGGTGCTACGTATGGGTGTTTTTTTATAACCTTTGGCTGTTAGTGTTGATGCAAAGCACAGAATGCCAAGAGAGCCAAGACGTCCAGTAAGTAGCTCGTCAAGAATTTATACACTATTCATTTTGATGCTGGCAAAGTAATCGCTCTTCGTATCTCTTCTATAAATAGACTTTTTTAATGCCAACTACCGTGCCTTGAGCAACCTACTTCCTGTTGTAGATAATCTGAAAGAAAAGTCTGCAAAATTACTGGTCCTGGAAGCGACACGATCGATACGTCCAAACGTTAGCCAATTAAAAACCTGGGAAGCACATGCAAAGTGAGATTGTCTCTGTGGAACGTTTACTGTGGGGAGAAACAAAGTTGTTTAAGATCCAAAAGAAGCTATGGTCTGATCGAGAGCACGATTCAACGCAAAGCAAATGGGTGTGATGCGTTGACAGGAGAATCTACCAACAGTGAGTAAGAAACGGACTCATTGGTTCCTCCTTAATAGATGGTGGTTCAGCCTGAAGCAGCATCAATGTACAGCTTTTTGTGCTGCCAATTCTTGAGGAGTGGGAGTATGCAATTCGTAATTATTTTGACGTATTGTCGAGCTGCAGTGCACAAAGCAATTAAAGCTCAAGTAAGGTGCATTTGCATAGCTTGTGGTGAGTGAGGACCTGCACAGTGAGCCGAAGATAACCTTTGTGGAATCGTCATTAATCCTCATAATTTATTGCTGTAGATATCGATTAGTTCTCACAAAAGAACAGTTGTAATCAGGTGTTCCGAGACTTGGGGATTCTTTGAGCGGCTTCTGCGAGAGCCTTCTCATCTTCGATCTGTACGAGTTTGTTGGTTAGAAGAAACGCGCAGATCAATCGAGTTCCACCGACCTGTTTACCGTCTGCAAGAGCCGCCTCTTTCTGAATTTCCATCTCTCTCACCAGCTGAGACTAACATGAGACACAAATTTAACCCGAGTTGGAGAGTCAGCCCACCTCTGATGAGATGACGTGTTAAAAGTTATTTTCAGTACAATTTCGACAGAACCATACCTTTTCCTTTCTGGAGAATATTCCTATGTACCGAATACCCCAACACGATGCCACCTGCACCCATTCCGATGAGGCCAAATAGGAGAGTCCTGTGTACAACGTCTATAAGCGGCATTCGAAGGGCCATGGCTGCGCCAGCGGACCAGACGACACACTGGAGGGGTCAACAGGCGTCGAGAGCGAGGCGAGCACGTAAGCACTGATAACCTGTTAAGGGAACTTTCTTAGCTAAGCGAGGACCCTATTAAGTAAACGAACACGCGCGTCGTCGGTATCGCTCCGAGTCGTCCTCCCTCTATTCCTTTCCACCATGACCTCTCTGCGCTCATTAGCACTCCTTTCTGCTGCAGCAGTCGCGCTGTCGACGCCGCTCTCTACATCCCCCGATGGCGCTGCGCTGCGCTACAACCGCCAGTATGAGATTGCCCCGCTCCACCACCCCAGTGTGCCGGCTCACAGGGTCGTCAATGACTCCTACATCGTCATGTTCAAGGACGGCGTCCACCCAGGTGCCTTCGACAGTCATTTCAGCTTCCTTCAGCAAGCACATGAGTCCGATCCGCTTGACGGAGACGACAGCGGTTTGAAGCACGTCTGGGACGCGCACATCAAAGGCTACGCTGGTTCATTCTCGCGTGACGTGGTAGAACGCATTCGCAGGCAACCAGAGGTCGCATATGTCGAGCACGATCAGATCGTGCATGCTCTTGAGACTCAGAAGGGAGCTCCTTGGGTCAGTTTATCGTGTTATTCCCGTCTTATCTGCGGTTGGAGTTGACGCAATTCATTTAGGGTCTTGCGCGAATTAGCCATCAGAACAAGCTCAATTTCAGCACGTTCCAGCGATATGAGTATAATAAGCACGGCGGTGAAGGCGTAAATGTCTATATTATTGACACTGGTATTTACATCGACCATGTCGAGTTTGAGGGTCGCGCACGGTGGGGTACGACAATCCCCAAGAATGATCAGGACATTGATGGCAACGGACATGGCACGCACTGCGCCGGCACAATCGCGTCACGCAAATATGGTGTTGCCAAGGCTGCGACTGTTACCGCGGTCAAGGTCCTTGGTACCAATGGCAGTGGGACTATGTCTGACGTTGTCGCTGGTGTCGTTTGGGCTGCGACTGACGCTGTAAAGGCTAAGGCTGCTGCGGATGCCGAGTTCCGCGCGACCGGTAAGACGAAGCACAAGGGCTCCGTTGCAAACATGTCTCTCGGAGGTGGAAAGTCCCAGGCTCTTGATGACACTGTCAACAAGGCTGTCAAGGCTGGTCTCCACTTTGCCGTAGCTGCTGGCAATGATAACCGCGACGCGTGCGACTATTCACCCGCTTCCGCTGAGCTCGCTGTTACTGTTGGTGCATCGACTGTCGTCGACGAGCGTGCTTACTTCTCCAACCACGGCAAGTGCGTCGACGTCTTCGCACCTGGTCTTAACATCCTTTCGACCTGGAACTCCGGCCCGATCTCCACCAACACCATCTCCGGCACGAGCATGGCATCTCCGCACACCGCCGGTCTCCTCGCGTATCTCCTCTCCATCTACCCGTCCACTACGTTCGACCCCGCACTCGGAGACCTGTCCGTACCTGCACTCAACGACGCTGTTTCGTCAAAGCCGTCGCTCGTTCTTCAGGGTTACGCCCGTGCGTACACCTACCTCCCTGAGTGGCTCACCCGTGTCTTGCCCGATCCAGAGCTCCTTGGTGCCGATGATGAGCTTGCGCCGATCCCGGCGACGTTGACACCCGAGCAGTTGAAGAAGGCCTTGGTTGCACTTGCGACTCCCGACGCACTCACTGACTCTCTTCCTCTCGGCTCGCCGAATCTCGTTATTTTCAACAACGCGACGAACGAGGATGGGCGTAATTGGGTTATTGATGAGCTGTTCCCTACACTCTGATTAACCGGTTGATTGGGCGTGAGCTGGTTGTGGTTGTGGTATTGGTAACAATGGAGCTTGGTTAAGTCTTTCAAGTAGTTGCTGGTCGCTAGTAGTTGACGCGCGGATTTGGATACTGCACACGGTTATCTCACATCCTCACATCGTATCCTCACACATACATCTGGCTTGCCTTCTCTCGTCCGAATCAATTACTAAGTTCGAGATTATTATGCGTTCTTGCCCTTGCCTTGCCTTGCACCCGCTCTTGTATATTAACTGCATCGCATACATACATACATCATCCAATAAGATCACTGGATTTGCATAGATAATTTGGCATTAACGGGTGTCTTTGAGCTCGGAAGATCGAGAAAAGAGAATAAGGGGTTGTTGGTCAAGGTAGGTCAGGGTAGGTCAAGGTAGGTTATATTTCATTTAGTGGTATTGATACTGGATCTGGTATTTATGGAAGGAACGCATATATAGTACAAGATGGTAAAACGAACAAAACCAGAGTGACGGAAAGTCTTGTATAACGAACGGAGCGGGACAAGAGAAAATAAAAAAGAGAGTAAGGAACGAACATACTGTAGAAAAGAGAAAAAGTCAAAGTAAACGAAATGAATGACTAAATTTTGATATTGATATTGCCAAGTATCATCACCAAAGAAAGCGTCTCTCTCTCTCTCACACACACACATCCTCTCCTCCTTAACGCGAATCAGACATTCCCGAAAACACACCCCCCACACCCCCCGTTTCCCCCACCAGACCCAGTCAACCCCGTCCCGCGTAAATCACAACTCACGAGTTTCGTACTCGCACATACCGATTCTGGCATCGAGCCTGAGAGGGAGGGGTTGGAGGATAGGGAGAGGGTTTGTAGGTTCGGTAGGTCTTGTCCTTGTTGTGAAGAGGAGGAAGAGGAGGAAGGGAAGGAGCCGGTTAGGTTTGTTGAGGTTAGGGATCTATTTTGAAAGTGGAAAGAGAGGGGGGTTAGTTGGGTTGGAAGGAGAAGGGAGGGAGGGAGTGGACGTACAGCGTCGTGAGTGAGTTTGTTATCGTAGAGCTGTTGAGTAGGCTCGAGAGGGGTGTTGAGATTTGTTGGTCGCTCACAACCCTGCATACACATATTAGCGAACATTCAACACAACACTCCAAAGCAAACACAAAACGACAAGAAAAAGGCGAAATGGATACGCACAAACTTTGCAAAGCCAAAGCACTAACATCCGGAAACGCACCCGCGAAACCCGTATTTTTCACAAGTGTCAAACTCGTGAGCCCGCTCACTGCGCCCTGTTGGAAGAGCGTCGCCGGTGGGGCTGTTAGAGATGTACTTTCGAGGTCGAGAGAGGTGAGAGAGGTGAGGTTGGCGAAGCTTCCTGGGAAAGCGCCAGCTGCAAAAAAAGAAAACGAAGCTTATTCAGAGCAGGGTAAATTAGGAGCGAAATTGAAAGCTAACCTGGTATACCGTTCCCACCGGTTATCTGCAATGACTGGAGGGACGTCAAAGCGCCTATTCCTGATGGCATAACTGATGGTACAGCAGGGAACACCATTTGCCTGTGCGCACCAGACGAATCAACATTATTGTGCTTATAAGTCAAAAGTACGACGACTCACAATGACTTTACTTTCCCTGAACCATCACACTGTACACCACTCCACGTACAAAAGTTAACATCCTGTACCCAACCTCCGTTTGCTAATGCGCCTTGGGCAGCGGCTCCCGATGCCGTGAAGAGAGACTGCAAGCCACAGAACTGGAGACTATTTGAGAGTGTCTGCGCGTCATCTGGTGCTGCAAATCTGAATGAAGACGGAATCCCTTGAAGGAAATTGAGGCATGTTGAACAAGGGTACAGCGACGCGTTCGCCGGTGCGTTCACAGTGAACTGCGTAAGACACAGCTGTTGTTCTGGTGAAAGTATATTCGTATCTCTTTTCTTTCCAGCGAAGACGCGTATGTTCACCACAACAGCGTTCACGAACAGATAAAGCAGCAGGATCACGAGCAGAACGATACACAGCCGATGTTGCTTCTTTCGCTTCGGATTCTGACAACGACAAGACTCCGTGTGCACGATCTCTCTTTTCTCGATACGCAGAGGTGACCATGCATTCGTACGCGCGCTATCACCCCGTGTATGCGAGCTGTCGGAAGAAACGTCTTGTATAGGGATGTCCAGGTCCGGTTCGGGTTTGTGTGAGAAGATACCGCTAATCGCGCCGCGAATCCCACTACGTGGGCGAGGAGGCGCGTAGCGTCGGACACCGCTCTCCAGGCTTCTAAGAGAACGTGGATTGCTGGGCAATCCGTACTGCTTGTACGGAGGCGGCATTGGCGATGTAGGCTTGTATTCAGAAGACAAGGGAGAGTGGAAAAATTCCGCGTGCTTCAGCGGTGTAGTAGCGGCCCGCGCTGCAGGGGTAGATGGGCGCGGTGGAGGGAAGTTGTCAAGGTTAAAATCCGGAAGAGACACAGTCGAAAGGCCACTGGACACCGTCATACGTGGTTTGAGGACAAGTCGCAGGGTCGCGGCCAGCTGCCAGCCACAGGGCTACAAGCAGACGAAAACAGCTCAGGCCACATGCTTACAGAAAGGGAGAGTTTTAGAAAGTATAATAACAGCGCGCCGAGTCAATGCGGTGAAAACAATGAATGAAGGCATTGTGCAAGGCCTCCCAAAACAACACAGCACAGCCACAAGCTAGGGACTCTTTGGTCTTGTTTGGTGCTTTGAGTTTGTGCGCTAGACGCCGACATGCGTGCGCTTCGATTCCCCTGTTGGCTGCTTATCGAACAAAGGGTAAACAAGATTGGCAAGTCGAATGGATAGTCTGAGGAGAATGGTCCTGGTCGAAGTAGTAAATACACATACGGCACTCGCGGGAAGGGCGCCAGTCGTATTTTGGAATTGGCCGCCCAAACAACACAGGTCGCCTCGGAGATGGCCTGAACTCAAAAAAATGCAGCATGTTCCGAGATAACCTTTCGCGACGTCTGATAAGACTTATAACAAGTGACAGAAGTTATATATTACCGTCAGTTCGATAAGATACAAGAGCTTACTGATAATAAGACCAGCTGAGGCTATTAAAGTGGTAGAAATCTGACGGAGGCCCTGACAAGTTAAGCAGGTCTGCCTTGAGGGGTAAACGGAAAAACAGAAGTGCATGCGTAAGTCTTAGATGTCGGCTAGCCGCGATGTTCAGTGCTAAAAAAGTTGAAAGCTTCAGTAGCGTAGCTTAAGAAGCTGGGTAGCGGTAGAACACTCACGAGATGAACGGTCTTCGTGATCTAGAAATGCACGCGGCAGAGAGACGAGGTAAGAAGCCAGGCAAGCGTTTCATCCAGGAGCTAGAGGCGCACCAGTCATATCGTCATTGAAACCTGCGAAGGCCAAGCAATAGTCTTCATACAGTAGCCGTTCCGGTCATAGCACTGGTTTGCATAGTGCACCTTAAGTGTTGTAGTTGCGTGGGAGGAGGACATAGGAGGACTAGGATCTGTAGACATAGAACTCATTGTGGCGAATCACTGGCGATACACCATGAAAGAAGAAAGAGACGCCGAAGATATGTCTCCCTTGGCCTTCGTATAAAGATACTCGAAAAAGCCAGTCTTTGCGTTCCGTTCCGCTTAACCGATGGGAGAGAGAAAGCAAGTTTCACTTACTTACCCCAGAGGTTGCAAACTATATTAGAGTTTATAAAAGAAAGTCACGTGCACTCGCTAAGTCTGTGCAGAAAGTTCTTAGAGGCTTGATTTCGGACCCCCTCATACCGGAACGGCGAAACTAATGCTGAGCGGCAAACATCCTGCTGAAGACGCCGACGGCAATGAACTTTACGTGCAAGCAACTGTTGCAGAACACGCACGCGACTATGACACTGCTTTTAAGCTATACCTTTCAGCGGCCCAAGCGCATCTACATCGCGCGAGAGGTCTTCCGTCGCAGCGCGCAGCAGACCGTGCGAAGTGCAAATCGGATGCTGGCATATGCCTTGAGCGGGCCGAGCGCATAAAGGCTGCACGGAAGGATAGCTTAAAACCAATCGACCGTGATCCGTTCTCAAAAGGTAAAATCGGATTATCGGGTTTAGGCGTATGAGAAGCAGAGGCTAAAGTCCGTTCATCGCGAAACAGAAGAGCAGACCTATGTTTTGGACAAGTCAAGCAATATAAACGATATAACATTTCCTATCTGGTCGAATAGTGATACTGTTCTCTCAGGCCAATCGGACGCAAGGTTAGGTCGACTTCTCAATGTCGCAATTGATGATTTCTTGATATATTTTACTTCATGCATAGTATACTCCCACCTCTTAGCTCCTCTCTTCTTTCCGTTTCCTCAGTCTGGAAGCGGCCGGTGGAGATCTATGCCTCTGAGTACCTTTCCTTGGCTGGAGCAACCCTGCAACCGCATCAAATTCGTCAGAATATTGTTACAGATTGTTCTGTCTGTAGTGCTGTTGCAATTTGCCTGCATCACCACCGCCAATTCAGCTCCAAGGTTCGTTAAATCGAGTATTGTGACTGCGATTTCTTGTCAACGTCTCTTTCTGTTCTTTTTTTTTAGCTAGGCTTATCGTGCATTTTCCCAAAAACTGCGGAAGGTCTTCCCTCAATTTCGCCAAATGGTATATATGCTTTCCGCTTTTTTGTCAATGGAGGCTTCCGTAAAGTGAGTGTCTCAACTACTAAAATGAATCAGCTGCTAATTCACTAACCCGCAAACAGGTCTGTAAGTCGAGTGAAGTCCTTACCGGTGAAAGCCATTGACATGCTAGAAATTGTCACCAACAGCAATTGATGATAGGCTTCCATTTACGACAAGCGGACAGCCGCTTTCCATAATGTCTTCGCTTGGCCAAAGTAAAGTAGATATATGGGCTGCACTACTTGAGAAAGCTGTAAGATATTCAGCTTGATTATAATTCGACCGGCATTAAATACCAGTTGACGACTTCGCTCTATTACAGTACATGAAATTTATGGGAGGATATGACTTTCCCGGCTCGTACGTCGTTTTGATTCAACTGTTAATGACCAGGGCATCTAACCCTACTGATCATGTCACTTTGTGACTGTGGAAAAAATGTAGCAACTCGAGTATAGATGTGCAGTCAGTAAGAGCCCTAACAGAAATTATTACACCGAGTAATAAAATATCTCCTATCACGTAGCGCGTTGACTGGATGGATACCCGAGCACCTCGAAATAAACAGGTACATTGTTTTGCCTGCACTGAAATGCAGGCAATATTGAGACTGTCTCTCTGTATTACTCATCGTTTAGCTCGGCATTTGTGCGGGAGAAGGTCTTTAAACGCGTCCACGAAGGTTTCAATCAAGGTTGGTCGGAAGCACAATTCTTCTTGTCTGCCATTTTGCTGAGCTGGAGCTAGGCTCTTGTGTGCTGTCCCTTGGTACAGGCAATCTTACGAACGACTCCCTTCTGTTAGTAACAGCACTTAATGGAACACGGACAAAACTATTGCCGACACACAGTTATGCAGTCACTGGTACGTATAAATCCTCAACTCTACCGATATAGTACCGATCTGGTTTGAATATAGGAGTGCAGGACGTAGCCGGGGATCGGTGGTTGACAATTTTAAACCCATGGAATGGCAGCGCTGGAACGAATAGTGAATCTAGCATTGTCGGGGAGTTTGAGAAATTACAAATCGGTAATGGTGATATTCTTTAATCATGTGCTCAACACCTGTCGGCTTACTTGAGGCCGACGTAGAGAACCGAGCTGGGAAGGAAGTTATTGACGTTTCCTGGGACGAAGTATGCACTGTCTTCGACGGCCTGTACTTGAATTGGGATCCCATCCTATTCAAATACAGTACCACGTTTCACGGCTCCTGGCGAACCCATGCGGGAAGCAACGCTCCACAATGTACGTCATGCTTTGTTACTCATCTACCTACTTCTCCTGAGCGTATTAGCCGTGCCCTAGGTACCCACTACTACCTTAATCTCGACTTGTCTTCAGGTCCTCAGGATCCCAAACCCAATAGAAGGCATGAGCACGAGTTATGGATTCTGCTATCGCGTCACATTGTGGATAAGCAGCATGCCGGTGAGTTCATTGCTGTGCACGCCATTCAGCTGGAACAAGAAGAAGCGAGACGGGAAGTTGGCACGGCGAGCGCAGATCTAGACGTGAAGGTAGGCTCATACGCAGGCGTCAGTGCAGGAAAAAATACATTTAACGGTCGCTAAAGGGGACGTACACGAGTAACACACACTCATTGGTAAGCAGACAACGGCTTTCCTTCGGCATTGCGTTTTGCGTCTTCGCCTTCTTTGAACCCCCAACACTATACTCTTTCCCCTGCTTTTTAGATTCGTCTTAGCGTCATAGGATCCACAAGCCGAGTCGCAATCGTAGCGTCGTACGATGGACCTCATGCAGATGTGTGTTTTTCTGTGCAGGCGTTTTGTGACAGCGCGGACCTTATATGGGCCGTGCAGCCTCGGAGAAGTGCGTACGAGCGTTCAGTAAGTATGACGGCTGACATTCTGAATACGTCCTTTCAGTTGTTTACACGAATCCACTTTTTAATTTGCGCAGATCGAGGGCGCCTTCTCCTCACGGAATGCGGGAGGCAACTGCACCTATTCGACATTCATGAATAACCCCCAATATCGGCTCAGACTGTATCCCGACAGTAGAGGGTCTGTGACAAATCAGTCGGGTGTGATGGAAAGGATGCGGAGATCGTTAGTCCGATTGATTGTCGAAGGACCACGAAACATTCCACTCAACGTCATGCTCGTATGGCGGACCGAGGCTGAAGCTAAAGAGAGAGTTCTTCAGTTAGTCCGCTTTCCACTTCTTTCCCATCATCTCCCTTCTTGCACCCATCTTTCTCGTTTTCTCCTCGAACATTTATTCATTGATGCCATTGCGCCCGTAGAGTGCGGCCCGGTGACGCTGTGGCTAATTCTGGACCATACAGTTATGGGATAGCACAAGCTGGTGGGTCGGTAACACGTAAGTGACGGTGGAACTTCATCCGCAGAAAGCTCACCGCCAAGTATCTTAGCTGGAGAGTATTGTATTATTGTATCTACGTTCGAACCGCGTCTCCGCGGGAATTTCGCACTACGAATTGAGAGTTCTCTACGAATGGAGGTTGAGGATATCCCTGCCGAGGGTGCTGGGATGTTCTGCAAGACTATCAAAGGGGCATGGTGAATTGGTGACTTCTTGTGAGATGACAGGCTTCTGTTGATTGCAATTGAATAGGCAGCCTGGTTTAGACGGTGGTAGCCCGCGATATGGCAGATATGACCAGAACCCGATGTTCGGGATTGAAATACGGACGGCGACAACACTCAAGTGAGCTAGACCTGTCTAGACTTCCTTCACGAAGACTCATCATGAAGTGTAATAGGTTGCGACTTCAATTGGCGAAGCCATCAGCATCTATCGCGTTGAATGTTACCCTCTATGCTTCACCCATCAGTCACTTTACCTCCTCCACTCCCTCAGCTTCTAGTTCAATTTTGTCCTCGCCGTTACGTCGAACGCAGATCCGCCTAGACCGTCAAGTAGCAACATCAGGAGCATACGTGGATGGAAGCAGTAGCCCAGCGGGCGTCGTGATTCCCCAAATGTCGATTTCTCCCGGAAAGTACATTGCCGTTGTGTCAACCTTCGACCCTGGCACACATACTGCATTCCAACTTCTGGTATTCGCAAAGACGGATGTACGGGTTTCTTCCATCTCCGAGTGACTGGAAGAATAGCGTGGAGCCCATTGCTCCCTTTGCCCCCCTTTCTGCGTGAGAGGCCGAAATTTTTATTGATTTTGTGTAAACACCGCTTTCTTCGTTCGTTCTATTAATGCAAAATTTCATATACCGCTGTGATAAGAATAAGAGCAATTCATATTAACTATTTGAAGTGGCTATTTCCACGAGAAAATATGATTATACGGGGTTTATCCATCCAAGAGGACAGAGCCGAGATGGGCAAAGCCGAACACATGAGGCGTCCCCCAAAGGCCATACATGCTTTGCAGGTACAGTGATTCTCAAAGTCTATTTAGCCTTACCGTATCTTTACTGTACTTTTGTAATTTCTTACACATGATGTACGAAAGATAAGCAAACTCTATGCTTCAAGGATCTTCCTTGATGACTGCGCCGACACTCGAATGCCATCTGCTATCTTGACCTCCAGGTCTGTCGCATTTCGACCGTTTGACACTTCAGGATTCAGCTCGATGGTCAGACAAAGCTCCTTAGCATTGCAACCCGAATCAAAGTCAATCAACATCTTCTCGTTGTTGTAGACGGTATTTGCATCACTGAGGACATCACGAAGCAATTCTACGATTCTCGTACTCAAGGTTGGAGCCTCTCTTTCATCTCGAGAAGTATCTATGCAGCTACAAAAACCAGCATATACTATGTACGTACAATACCGATCACGTACAAAGGTGATGCCGTTACGCTGCTGTACAGAAGCTCTCCTTTGACAGGTCTAAAGTTGCAAGAGCCGATAGCATAGGAACTATTATTGTTCTCGTCCCCATAAGAGTGTACGTACGCTTCGGGATTGTCTGAGGTATCGATGTGGATCATTAGTAGAGGGCCTAGATGCAATGTACGAAAGGCCAATGGGAGAACTGCACTAGGTACGTTGTCTCGATGCCTTTAATGCTTCAACCGTTTACCATTGCCAACGTATTCTTTCATGCCTACGTAGACTTCCAGGTACACGAGTGTTGAAGCTCTAAATTCCCCTGGCACAGAAGAATTTAAATATCGAAGATAGCGATACAATTACAGGGAAGAAAGACGAAATCGTTTCAACTATCGTGGCAAGTATGATCCTGTCGTCGACAAGATAATGTTAGAAGTCATTACCCGGTCCGATAAGCTCCTGATCGGTAAGCGAACTGATGACTGCTCCTTGCCTGTAGGACGCATGTTCATCGAACTCTCGGTCCACGGCGAATTTTCTTTGTGTGACATCGTCCATCTTTCCTTCAAGGCGATCGGCGACGAGGCGGCCTATCACGGGCAAGAACTAGAGACCCATCAATAACATCCTCGAAGTACCTTATGCTTAACAACTAACTTTAAATCCATGCCCGCTTCCAGCCGTTACGAAAGCAAGGCCCGGGTCTGCCGGGTGAACGTCGATGATCCAATTCGAGTCCGGTGAATCAGTGTACCTGGAGATCGTCGTCTAGACCTATGTCGTAATAATAGAAAGGGGAGATTTACCAGCACAGGCGTGTAGAATGGAATGGCTTCTCCGCAAGCTCAGGGAAAATATGCCGGAAGCATTTTCGAATGGCCTGCGCATCCGATTTCGGTATTTTCAGGCCATCCTCTCCATGTGAGAGTTCCGTACGCGGAGTTGATATATATGCATTGACGGCGTCTACATCTGGAGCGTCGGAAGGGGGGATCATGTTCGTAGATCCACCGGTGTGTATTCCCATTTTGATGAGGTGGTCTTCTGTAGGCTACAAAATTAGTCAGCGCAGGAACACAAATTCGGAGTTGTTACGAATCCGTACTGGGAAACAATAAAAGCCCGAAGTCTTCAAGTCCAGCACCACAGGGACATTACGGTAGCGTTCGCCTTCCTCAGGTGTTAATTGAATGGTCACAATGCTTTGGCTGTAAATAAAAACACAATTAGAAGCAGAGCGCGGAAGAAGCAGTATAACGCACCCGGTAGCATGCGCTCTTTTCCCCAATTTCAGTTCAGGAAACGCGGACGCCGTCCAACTGCCAGTAGCAAGCACGACGACATCCCCGGCGTATTCGCTCCCATCTCTACATTTCACGCCCCTCGTTCGAGATTGGTCCTTAATAATTGTTATCACTTCTTTACCAGCAATGATCTTGCCACCCATTTTCTTCACAAGTTCCATCGCACGCTCGATGGCACCCTTGGAGTATGCCCACCCGCCATCGGTATTAAAGTAGCTTTGCGTATGTGTGATTTGAGAACCAAGGGGGATATCCGAATGAAATACTTCTGCGAGCGTAATTGATTCGATGTGCTTTGTATCGGATTCCGACTTTCCGATAGGTTTGTAATTAGTACTCCTAACTGACGTGGCAAGTTGCTTGACTCGGGCACCATGCTTGACATCGTTTCGGAATGAGCCGTCCATATGTATCGACTCTCCCGAACCGCAACTAACAACTCCGGACCTTTAAAATAGGGAAGATGATATCAGCCTCGTGGCGTCTGAGTTGGTGGAAAAGTAGGCTAGAAGACTCATATTAAAAGGACATATGTATCAACGAGGATCCGTCGCAAAGGAGTGGGAAGGTGAAATCAAGGAATGGATGATGCCGAGATGAGGAGACGTTCCGAAGCCAAACTCTCTAAAACGAGATGATACAGGAGTTGTTCACTTACTCATGATAATTGTCGCCCCAGACTTCGAGGTCTTTCCAAGCCTCGATTGCGTCTCGCGCGAGCCGCGTGTAAAATTCATCTTGGTAGGCGGAACGCACAACTGGGGAAGACAATGAACGTTAGTACCACGCAAATCAATCTGAATATTGTCCAGGTATTGTAGAAAAAATAAATCCGGCTCAATCAAAGTTAAATGAAGAGAGTACTAGGGCTGTTATGACAAGGATATCGACTACTCACTTTTGTTAATGTCCGTGCTCGCCGCATCAGCTGCTGGAAGTTCGGATGCACGGTCGAGTACGACAACGTCTGTGTATCCGCGTTGGAGAAGGTGGATAGCTGTTGAAATACCGAAGCACCCACTTCCAACGATTACGATTTTCGATGACGGCACAAGAGGCGGACTTGCAGAGGAATGTGTAGAAGGCGTCAAATCCGTTGGACGGAGTGTCCGCGTGAAGAATGCTTTTATCCTCGCGAGCATAGTTGCAGAGTGCAGGAGCAATAGTGAAGGATGCTGAAAAGCCGAGTATATAACGAATGGTCAGTCGATTGTCTACGTAGTTATAGAACTAACCACAATACTGCACCAGATTTGTATCGCAACCCAGACAATGTCCTTGAATTTATACCAACGCGGAGCATTGGACTTTATCCGCAAAGCGACCGGCGGACCTAGTAGTTTTTCGTTGTTCCGAAAACCGAATTCTATGAAGACCCTTCAACGTTTTCCGAGGGGTGGACATGACGTGCCGATCATTAGTTACGGATAAGGCTGTTTGAAGTCCTTCCCTCTATCCTCGAAGTTTCTTGAGCCTCGAGCTCTCAAAGCGGCACCGCGTTGTGGTGATGTGTTTTGACTTAATTCTTCTCGATTTGAAATACTTTAACATTTAAGCAAAATAAATGAATGAATCATGTGAAAGACACATGGAATGTATAGGTGTGTGCAGCTAGTGTCCAAGTCGGCGGCGAACGGATAGTGAGATCTTGATCGAAAGCATTTTGATGTCAGCTAACCTATGTCTCATCGTATGTAATCAGCCTTTGTACGAATGCGGGATTACTGAATTTACCCGCAGCATCTGGCTGAGGCTATTAGCCAAACATTGAGGGGGTGATAAGATTCGCGAAGATCGAAGATCGTCAGGTTGGCTACGTATTCAAATGGGCTGAAATGCACAAGCTTGGCAACTTCTCTCGCATGACAGAGGCAGCAGACCTGCAGCTCGATGTAGCAGTATAGCAAATTCGGGGGGAATAACTTCAAATCGTAGCAGAACGTCAACCATTCACGCCCGTCATTGGAAGTATGGATGGGCACTCACAGATCTACAGTGTTGACTTTAATGTTCTGCCTCTATAGGAATGGTACTAATCAGCTAGAAAGAACCTCCTTAAAGAACCCGAAGGAGAAACTCTACAGCTCGGTGCCAATTCGTCGTCCTTTGGTAGTCGGAGAGCAATCAACGACTGACTTTTGATACAACGGGAAGATGTAGAGAAAAACGTCAAGCGAGAGAAGTCATCGCGCGTAATGTAATTTATGTTCTTGAAAGAAAGAGTAGGCGCGACGCAAACGCACGTATACCAGTTGTCGCCCGTCTTTATTCAGTCCCGGAACGACCTAAAAGCAACATTCGTTCTTCCGAGAGTCGTTCGTGATGGCAGCCGAACATCGCCACCCCGTAAGATTATCCACTTACACACATTGAATATCCGCTTCAGGAACGGGTTAGTGTGCTGCGTGCTGCGGCGATCGCATATAGCGTGCGAGGTCGCATGTATCGGACAGAGAGCGGGCCAGAGCTAGCTATCGGAGCAATACGTTGGACGAAGTCGACAAGAAAGCAACCGTTATGGGCCCTGCCTTCCTAAAGAAGCTATACAATGAGGCTTAAATTCGTAAAATTAGACAAAAAGTACAGTCTGACAAATTGTATATCAGCAGGCGTGATTTTATTGGAAGTTCAAAACTCACAAGCTACAGAAATATTTCGACCTCCTGGCAACACACCCCTTCCATTCTCCGCTACGAAGACCACAAGATTGGCGACTAAACAGGAGCGCCCTGATCTGGAAGCCGTTCAATCGCATACCTCCGTCTTACAATGTACATGAGAGGGACACCAGGCACTTTGCGAATACGGCGGCGCAGTTCTCTGTCGCACGTCGCCACGATGTAACACCGACTCGCCGTAACACGTTGTACGAGACAATCGTCCGCATAGGTGCCTTGGTGCGTACATGCGAGACGCTCAAACCGCGGGTCGCGTGCTATGCGCAACGCGATGCGGTAACGTGGGCCAAGCTTCTCCAGCTCAGCCAGTACACAATCCGTCACACAAGGTATACCTGTGAGTCGTTGAGTTAACGTAAAGAGGGAGAAATAGCTAAAACATACACTTTGCATACAAACAATCCATCATCCCACTAACCAGATCAAGCTTGTTCTGCAGACTGAAATTTATGAAATTGGTGTCTATTAAGACTCTGTAGGGTGGTGAAAGTGCAGTATTGTGCTGCAAGAAGAGTGACGACGGAAGTTGTGGGCTGTCAGGTCGCAAAAAAATCAGACAAGTAAATCATGATTACGAGAAAAACCGGCATACATCCTCTTGACAGCCTTCTCGCGCTCCTCTTCCTCCTTCTTTCTTTGCTTCAACTTGTTTTCTTTTCTTTCGTAAGAACCAAATTAATTCCAGACTAAACACTAGAGAAGTTCGGGCCTCACAAACGAGCATCCTTTGGGCTAAGTAGACGTTTAACTTGCGCAAATTTACGAGTCGTCTTCGCCTTACCCTAGATATTCTTCTTGATGAAAAACTCCTGTAAGGACATAGAAGTACATCTTACCATCGTCAATCAACGAGAGTCTACTTAGCAGGTTTAGCAGGCCAAAGCGTCAAGTTAAGCACGACGAAAACCATGAAATTTTGGCACCAGACTTATATCACGTGATTAAGTTGCGCTCTGTGACCTGTGACGTAACTGATAGCCCTCCGTCTCGCCACTTGCTCATTCGTAGAGGCATGGTATTGCCCTAAAGTACTCTTCTCCGAACAAAATCATTGCACTACTTATTTCCACCTTACCACCCTGTGGCTAAGAATAGCATTTCGTCCCGAGCCACATCTACTCTGTGAATGGATGACGTCCCCTATCTCAAATCGAGAACAACTGAAAACTGGGGTCGTAAGTGTATATTACTATAATCTAGATGTCTTGGTCTTCCAGGCTAGGTGTCTGTATTCAACACGATAACGCATCACAACGTCTCTGGGCGCCTCCAATGACAGGCTTGGTGACACAAATCTCCGTAGTATCCAAGATGGCTCTTCGTCTTCTTTGCTCATTGCAATGGTCTCAGAAAAGGGGATACTCCACGCTTGTTTGGTCTCCGTCGTATTGAATGTGTCTTCTTATTCAGCCACGTTGCGATGTCCAGTACCACCATTCAGTTCATTCAGTTCCTTATCGACGATCATGTAAATTCCTACACTGCATTCAACCGTACATATCATCCTCGCTTTTCATGGTTCAACATGATGTCCCACATGCTGCTATCCCGGGTTCATATATCGCCGTTCAAACAATTTGGGCCTGTCCCAAGAGATCTTGGCATGTTTTTGAATATCAAAGCCCATCCTCAGGTGCTGGATTCCCGGTTTTTGCGGAAATGCATAGTTCTTGCAGAGGATTCGTGTCGCCTCCAAGTTCTGGAAGCATGTGCTAATTCCAAGTGAAGCATGGTCAATGTATGGAACTTTAACATCTCGTGTTCTTGATGATGACCTTATGTTTTAATTGCCGATACTCCCCGGTGAGGCCGATCGGGACAATGCGTCGCAACCTAGGGCAACGACTGGCTTCTTCGAAGGTATGATGAAGACCGGGAATTACCGCCTTCGACGGAACCGAAGCCAAGCAGGTTGCCCACCACGTGCGCGTTTTCACTTTTATCCGCAAAAATCGCGATGATATCGATGATAACTCAAGTACCCCCAACGCATGTCTTAGCAGTGTCGTACAGTTAAATCTAATGAAGATATTTGCACATGGTTGAGTTGCATCTATTCTTCTTGACGTACGACATGGATGACAATTTCACATTGGAGCTTTCCTGTGTCTGGTCTTCTCAAATATCTTGGATGTCCGTCACATGGCATAACTCGCCTTTGAGACATTGAGGATCTGTTCGATCCTTGAGGATTGCATCTATGCAATCCGCTCGAAATCGACCTGACCACGAAACATCATGAAAGTGCCTGAAAGCTGCGGCACCCTGCTCTTCATTAACCAAGTAAGTTTATGTGTTTTCCTTCCCCTTCACTCCAACAACTATGTTTGTGACCCACCCAGTGCAAGATTCTGCGGGCGACCCACTGCTATTCTTCATAGTGCACTACAAAGAATAACGAGCAATCGGACTCAGGATTGTGCGGTAGTGCTACACGTCCTGCTTCTGTGCTATCTCAGATGCGTTACTTTTTAGTATTTGTGCGATAGACCAGGACATATGTCACAGGGTAGCGAAATTCCAAGCAAGGCTGATTTGAAACTAATATGTCATTCGAAGAAGAACTGACCCTCGCACGCGTGCATGCGCGGCGTCGAACTCGATGTTTTCGTGAACTTCCGATTGACAATGAGTGTGATAGGAGTTAGCCGGATACAGATAATTGGAATTTTTGCTGCATATACGTCTTTCTGTCGAAGTGGACGCCATCGTCAATATTATCCGCACAAGTTCGGCCCGGTGTCTGAGACATGAGGTATGTATGTCCAAATTGAAATTCAACTTTACCATAGCACGGCGTTAACATCTAGACCTTGCAGTGCTCTATATATGCATTTACGGGTTTACGTACCAGAAGAATCGCTGCAGGATGCGAAGGGAACAACCCCCCCCCCCTCTTGGAGCTTTATTGAGCTATCTGAACAGTCGCGGACGGTTGTAGTAATGAAACAACTCGTGCGTACTCGCCAATATGAAGTTCCGGGTCTCTGGGTCGTCAATGAATGCATAGTTATTTAGCCGATAGATTTACGTGCATGGATGAAATGATTGCGCATACACGTATTGATCACGCATGCATACAGACATCCAGCCTACAATACTAAGCCTGACATTGATATAGGCGCAAATCTATTGCACAATATAACGAGTACACGCGGTAAGCGTTAGGTGGTTTATCTATCCCAGTTCCCATTTATTCGTGGCTTTCCCCCTCCGACGGTGCTTTTATGCTTGAAGAAGTTTTGTACGCACTTGTGCTTGCACGGGCGCCTGTCGGTAGGGATATGCGGAATGTCGTACATGCGCATTCCATAAGTTGAATGCAAGCTTCGCCTCAACTTCTACTAAGAACGGTCGGTGGAAATTAGGATGCGGATGGATACTTTTAACTATGAATGGGCGATAGGCGTCGAATATGTAAGTACAATCGATTGCATGCTTTTTTTGACCCTGATAATTACATATTTTCACTTCTATGAGGAAGTTTTCGAATTCTCTTGTGTTTGGGCCCCCTCTCCCCCCAACCATAGACACCTGCTGGTAAGGTTACGCGGAATGTCGTAAATACTGTATTCGTCGCGTTAACTGTCAAGGACTCGAAGTTGTTTCATGGCAGTCGGGAGATATTAGACTTCTAGGTTGCTACAGGAAAGTTTGGGCCTCAAAATTTGGATAATATTGATAGGCAGTAAGTTTGGATTGAACTGTGGAAACAATAATATTTCGATGGGCTATATGTTCCTAACTTTAACCTTATAACGTCTGGCGATGTTTTCATATTGGATAATTATTTGAATCGGCGTCTGGGGCGTTCGGTGGAAGTCAGGCGTATAGGCTCTATAGATACAGATAACTCAAGCCCGGAATTTGCAATTAGCAGTCCCACATAGTTGAAATAGAAATTTGAATACGAAAGTCGAATTAGAATAAACAGTGAATGCACTCTATGGTAAGGAGCTTTTATACTAAAGTTTACACACAAGTATACCTCCCATACAACTAAGAGAATAAATGAAGACGTAAATATTGAGAACTAGCGGACCATTCGACGAGAAGACCTGGTCGGGCATTTCGAATGCGATGAAACACACAATTCCTGGCGGATCAAAACTTTCACCAATCGGATGGGACTTTGAATCATCCAAAACCTTTCGTAGGCCTCTAGGTGCAAGTATTGTATACAGTCCTTTTGTCCTTATACGCACCGTCTGTAGACGCCTGCTAGCAAGGCCGCATAGAACTTTGTAAATATCCTATCCGATTGCGTTTAATGCTGAAGGCCCGAAATTGTCGAAGGTAAACGATGGAGACTGGATTTATGACTTTTTATTAAAGCCCAGACGTTTCGCCATTGAGTTTAACTCCCAACAGGAAAGTTTCCTCTGGCTATTATCCGTGTCAGTCTATTTGCATATGGTAAGTAACAAACAATTTTAAGAAATAGCGATGAGAGTGTAAACTGACTTCTGAACCTCTGACACATTTGTGTAAACTACTTGATGTGAAATCGATGATTTTGATTGAATCATCGCTATTTCTAACAACATTTCGAGGCTCTAAGGAACCATGAAGAACTCCATAACTATGGAGTCTCCATACTGCGCTGTATAAATTGAACCTGAAACGATGACATTTACATTGAGATCGCATGGAATGTCTAAGTGTTATGCTACTTGCCTGTCAGTATCCGACAATGATTCCTTATCGTGATCTAACAGATCTCGCCATCCTACTTTATGACTGAGTGCTTCCCCTTCGCAGTCCATGACTATTGCCAGGGTTCGCGGTGTCTCGTAAAGCCCATAACACCGTGGCACAATATCTTTAGACCTGCTTCCAAGATGTCGATATATGTCGAGTTCTTTTCGAAGGCGTCGCATTTGTCTCTCTTCGTTGTATGTTTCTCCTTTGCCAACTGTTTTAATTGCAAATGTATGCTGTTCTGATGTTTCGCTATGTTCATTGTCTACGGGTATCGCTTCGTAGACAACTCCACAAGAGCCTTGCCCAAGGCAACGCAGAACACGCAATCGAATATCATTATCGCTCATGGGTGGAAACTCATCTCTTTTCGTGATACCACGGAATTTGAGCCACCGCGTATGGGGTTTGATTTCTTTCCACCAAGTTAGCTGCGAATGAATATAATCAACAAAATAAAGCGCTGAGTGACAAGATTTCCGCCCTACAGAGAAGCCTGGAGGGTTACACGGCTCACTGTCTATCCCTGCCTCGGATGCGGTCTGTGGTTGCTCCATGCTCGACGTTGTGGCTCGTCCTTCCTGAGACGCGGTGTTCTGCTTCACATGTGGTGCAGATTTTTTATCCTCTGGAATTGCGGCATCCTGGCTCTGCATGTCAAAGTAAGATGGAACAACTCTGCCCCTTTCAATAGTAACAGCTTGTGAAGTCAATAGTGTCGGCTGGAGGCCTGTGTGTCTGGGATGTCTCAGTCGACATAAAACGTATTTGGTAGTAGATTGGAGCGGAGACTAAAAATTCCCATATTAAGTCGTAGTCAGTGTCACGAATCTCTAAAGTGTATTTTGGCAATGTACCAAATAAATAGTGTACATTTGGGTCGTAAGAGAAAGAAAGAAATAGAAAGACCCTTTTGGGAGCTGGTGCTGTGAGACCAGACATCATGTATCATGAACCTACTCTGGGCGTCTAAGTCAAAGACAAGCAAGAATCAGGCGATAGCAAGGCAAGACAGGAGGTTAGAGGTTAAAGTGGGAGACAAAATTTTTATACACGCGTTCCAACGAACTCCGCCCAGGAGTTCACCTCTGAAGGTATCCGACCTTCAACATATGGTCGCAAGCCTCCCTGGGGCATCTTCCTCGCGAGCGCCTCGACATAGAGCTGTGCACACTGTGCGTTGTTGAGGAGTGGGAGGCCGAAGTCAACTGCGTTTCTGTCGAATCAAATCGTGGTGTCATTGGTAAAGGAACGAGAAACGAAAAAAAGGGAGAAGATCGAACGAACCGTCTGGCAACATAATCCCCATCCGTCGCCTTCTCCGCTCTCGTTCTCGCAAGATTAATCACACACTGAATCTCAAACTCGTCAAACACCTCTCTCAACTTCCTTTTATCTTTCGTCGGGAAGAAAATTCGCTTGCACGTCAAGTACGGTGGGTTACTCAAGTAATTTTCCACGGTCGGTGAGGAGCAGTATAACTTGAATCCGAGATCGGAGAGCTTCTTCGCGATGAGCTGCATTGCTGGGTTCGATGTGTCCCCGCCGATGAGTACACCAGACCCTGGACGTGGGTTCTTCCACCCTGTTTGGGATTGTACCGCTGCCCAGTATGCTTCGTACACGTCTTTCCCGAAAGAAGCGATTTCGCCCGTACTCGCCATTTCTATGTTAAGTAAGGTACACCCATTTTTTTTAGAATCAATGAGTTTCGTGAGTTGATTATGAGGTCATCACTCACCGACGCCGAGGAAAGGATCGGCTCCGCCCAGACGTGTCCAAGAGAATTGGGAGACCTTGATAGCCGTGTAGTCTCGTTTTTCATCCATAAGGTCAACAGGTTCGGGTACGTTCGTATCCGTAATGGCAGCCGTGGCGATATCCACGAAGTTCCTCCCCAGGACTTTCGAGACAAAAGGGAACGAACGTGAAGCTCGAAGGTTACACTCAATCACTTTCAACTCCGGTTCCCCGCCCTCGACATCCTTCTTAATAATCTGCATATTAAAGGGTCCAGAAATCTGTAGAGCTTGCGCAACTTTCTGGGCAATCTCCTTGCACCTCTTCACAACGCTCCCCGAGAGGGTATGGGGTGGGAGGACGAGCGTCGCATCTCCGGAATGCACGCCCGCCTGCTCGACGTGCTCCGAGACGGCGTGCACGAGCAGTTTACCCTTGTGCGCTACGGCATCGACGTCAATTTCCTGTGCGCTATCGATGAATTTCGTAATGACGACGGGGTGTAGAGGAGAGACAGATGCAGCCGCAGAAAGTTTGTGTTGGAGCGTAGATTCTGAGTAGACAATGGACATTGCTGCGCCGGAGAGGACGTATGAGGGGCGGATAAGGACTGGGTAGCTAGATGGGTCGTCATTTCAGCGACTTCAGTCAAAAATGAATAGAGGCACCTTCTTACCTTACTCTATTAGCGAACTCCTTGGCGGCTTCCACAGAAGAGACTTCTGCCCACTCTGGTTGGTCAACACCGACCTTGTCAAGGACGGATGAGAACTTGTGCCTGTCCTCCGCTGTATCGATCATTGCAGGGTCTGTTCCCAAGACGTTCACGCCGCTGTTCTTAAGCCGGAGTGCGATATTCTGAGGAAGTTGACCTCCAACGCTGACAATCGCCCCACTAGCCTGTTCAAGCTCGTAAATATCCATAACTCGTTCCCAGCCCAGCTCCTCGAAATACAGCCTATCCGCTTCGTCAAAGTCCGTCGAGACAGTCTCAGGGTTATAATTAATCATAATTGTCCTCTTGCCCATATCCCTAAGTTTTCGCGCGCAGGTCACCGCACACCAATCGAACTCTACCGAGCTGCCAATGCGATATACGCCGCTTCCGAGTACCATCGTCCCGTGTTCATCGAACTCGACATCATGCGTACTCGCATTGTATGTTGTATAGAGGTAGTTGGTGTGTGCTGGGAACTCTGCTGCGAGCGTGTCGATTCGTTTGACGAAAGGTGTGATCCCGAGAGATTTTCGGTGGGTACGTACGCTGTCTTCTGTACTACCGACGAGGTCCGCGATCTGCACGTCTGAGAAACCCATACGTTTCGCTTGCTGCATCAGTTCGTGCGAAATTGCTGAGACGGAACCGGCGTTCTTTAATGCATGGTGGGTGTTCACGATGTTCTCGATCTTAAATAAAAACCATTTATCGATTTTGGTAAGTTCGTGAATCATCTCCACTGTGTACCGTTTCGCGAAGAATGCATATGCGATTGCGAATAGTCGGGTATCTGTCGGGTTTGCCAGTGCATAGTCGAGGTCTTCCGGTTGTACGTATGCCTCGAAACCAGTGTACCGTGGATCGACTTGACGAATGGCCTTTTGTAGACTTTCTTCGAAGGTACGACCGATAGCCATCACTTCTCCCACGCTCTTCATTGCCGAGCCGACTTTCCTGTCAACTTGAGAAGAGAACTTGGCTAAGTCCCATTTCGGTATCTTCGTCACGATATAGTCCAGAGATGGTTCGAAACATGCTGTTGTCGTCTTCGTCACTGCGTTCGGCAATTCTGGGAGAGTGTAGCCGAGAGCGATCTTCGCCGCGGTGTATGCGAGCGGATAACCTGTAGCTTTGGACGCGAGTGCACTTGATCGACTTAACCGAGCGTTAACCTCTATGACACAGTATTCCTTTCCGGATGGGTGTAAAGCATATTGGATGTTACATTCCCCAACAACACCCAAGCGCCTAATAGTCTTGAGAGCCGCAGACCGAAGCATATGATATTCATCATCCGGTAACGTCTGTGAAGGCGCAACAACGATCGAATCACCCGTATGCGTACCCAGTGGATCGAAGTTTTCCATGTTACAGCAGATAATAGTGTTATCCGCTCCGTCACGGACGACTTCGTATTCGAGTTCCTTCCAGCCTTTCATACTCCGTTCAATTAGTACTTGTGGGCTAAGACTGAGACTCTTTGCGGATAGATCCCGCAGCTCGTCTGCATTGTTCGCGAAACCTGAACCAAGGCCGCCGAGTGTGAATGCCGAACGGAGAATGACGGGGTATCCAATTTTTTCAGCAGCCTCGAGTGCTGCGTTGACTGAAGAGACAGCTGTCGATTGCGCAACTGGAATATCAATTTCTAGTTGTTCCAAACATCAGATATTTAGTTTTCAGTCTCTGAACCAATCTAATAATAAAATAATAACAAACAATAACCTACCCTTTAATGCTTGAACGAACAAGTCCCGATCCTCGCTGATTTCCAAAGTCCTGATCGGGGTCCCTAAAACTTTTACTCCCAGTCTCTCTAATACTCCCATCCTGTCCAATTGGATCCCAACATTCAGTGCACTCTGCCCACCGAAAGTCAATAACACTCCATCAGGTCGTTCCTTCTCCAGAACATACGCAACATAATCCGTCGTAATCGGCAAGAAGTACACTTCAGACGCGAGTTGGTGAGATGTTTGCCAAGTAGCGATATTCGGATTAATCAAAACCGCTTCAATGCCTTCTTCACGCAGAGCTTTGAGAGCTTGAGAACCAGAATAGTCGAACTCTCCTGCTTGACCGATAGACAGGCCACCAGAACCAACGATGAGCACCTTCCGAACGTCCGGACGCGGGAGCTTTGGAAGGACCTTGGCGGAGATCCTTCGTGCAAGCTCGGAAGGGGAGTTTAAGACATGTTCGCCTTCCTTTGGTGTATGAGAGCCTACAGCGGGAGCTGCCACTGCCCGACGTGAAGCTGTCGGCGCGAAAGCACCACCAGAATTGTATCGCGCAATACAGCATTGGTGAAACGTCCGAACACCTCCCACTGCAAGCTTAGTGTATGGGGCTTTCGTCGTTAGTGGGCGTATTGACGCCATTTCTTTTACCAAGCCCTGCAGGAGCGGACGGGCAACGAGCTCGAGGAGCCTGGACCTTAGTGAAAGGAAGCTAGTAGCTACAATCGAGTCACTTCTTGGTCTGCCGCTCTAAAAAAATTGTTGAAGCGGATTGGCGCTAGAAATTTATCTACGCGAGAAACACGTGATCTTGTTCGCGTTATTTATCCACATGAGGCATTTCACAATTTCTTACTCTAAAAAATAACTTACATAATGTAAAACATTATTTGAAATTTATCTTACCATTTTTGACCAGCAAAAATTATAAACAAAATTTGTAATTTTCTTTATACAAAAACTAGAAATTATTGTTAACATTTCTTCATTTGTGAAATCTTAAAATAAATGGAAATAATAATCTAAAACATAATTTCAAAACAAAATTAGAAATTTTCTTTTAAATTTTTTCATTACTAGTACAGAGGAATAACAAAAAATTC